GTCGTGCCATCCCTTTTGGTGCCGTTTGTTGAGCTCATCCCTCGGGTTATCGAAGTCCTCGAGTCTCATGTCAAGGAAAGCCCTAATCCAGTACTGCTCGTCCTCCGACTTTTTCACACCGCCTTTCTTTTGGGTAACTGTCCGGTTCAGTATGGAGGGCATGGAGTCGCCATCATCGCCACCACCATGCTCAATTATGCAGTCGTATAGGGCGCACCGACCCAGGGCTGTTTGTAGGTTTACAGAGTCAGCTAGCTGCATGGCAGGGCTGTTCATGGGTTAAATGTACATGGGTTGATTTATAGTATTTTATAGTATATTATGAAATTTTATTAAGTATTAAACTGTAAATTAATTCTTAATTTATTGTTTTTAATATAATGTTAAAAGTTATTAGTTAATTTGGAAAACAGATATTAAAAATTTATTTTTAAATCTGTGCTATTTTTGTTTTAGAATATTTTGTATTATTCATTTTAATAAACTATAAATTTGATGGAAATTTAATATTTTTAACTTAAACTTGAAACTTAAATATTGTTAACTATTAATGGGATTTAAACGTTTGTAAATTTACCTAAATTAAACGTTTACCTAATTTGTATAGTACTAGTATTAATGAGTTAGTTAATGAGTATTTGATTTCGAAGTTTCTATAACTTGTAAATCTTATTTTTGATAAATAATTAAAATATAACTTTTGAACTTATTTTTAAACTGGCTTTCCAATCACAAGAATAAGTACTATTTTTGTTATATTTTATTAAGTTTTACACTATTTATATAAAAAATATCCACTATCATATTTAAAACAGTAAAACCTAAATAAAACAATGTCTATTAAATTGTAAATACACTACGAGACTAAATTGTTAAAATTAATTTTTAAAGTGCTTTTATACTGCAATAATTACTTATATATGAGCTAGTTACTAAATATTTTATAAAATTCATATAAATAAACCAAAAACAAAAACAAAAACTTATAATTTGTTAAAAAAGTTTTAAAAAAGTTAATAAAAAGTTAAAAATCTCATTTACTTGTAATACATTTCGGCCGACACCTCGTCCTGAACCTTAATAAACAGTGGGTCGGCACAGGAGGCCTTCCATGCCTGGGGAAAGCCGTCCAGATGTGAGGTATCATTGCTTACCTCCCGGGCCAGTCGCTCCAATTCCGGCAAATATTTTTTCAACGAATTGAACGGATTTCGTTTGTTAAAGGTCTGGACGACCACCAGTACGTCACCGGTAGCTGTGGTGAAGCCAAACTTACCGCACGTATAGCCCCTCCCGTCCCCTATGTCCTCGACATACGAGTACTGGATGTCAATGGAGTCGTTCTCGAAGATACTGATGAACTGTTCGCACCGTTTCCTCTGCTGGGGTGTCATCTGAGCCCAGG